TATAGACATACACAGGCACCAAGGATCCAAGTGCAATTATGACTGACTAGTAATAGATACATACAGATTAGAGATGCATGTGCCAACACCTCAGTTTTAGTAGAAAAAAATGAGTCTTTCTGCAAGGAACAATATATTCTAAAATGAAATGGAGATCGTTTTTAAAGGTTAAAAACTCATTCAATTTTATGTCTTACAGGGCTTATACTGAGTTCAATATTGTATAACTGTATTAATTCAACTGTGAACCTGGAAACTCACAGCCACTTGTGAAAGAGATGTATTCTTGCTCTGGAGTGTGTTACTGAATATGTCAAAGCTGTAATGAAATGCTTCTTCTAATCATGTGGTTATTAAAAATGTAAAAAAAAATAATGATTTTTTAAAAAGTGTATGAATGTTTTGCCTGTATCTATGTAAGTGCTCCCATGTTGTGAAATGGCTGCAGAAGTCAGAAGAGGGTGTCAGATCTCCTGGAGCTGGAGTTACCAATGGTTATTAGCTGCCATGTGCTGCTGGGAACCAAACCCAGGTCCTCTGTAAGAGCAACCAGTGATTTCAACTGCTGAGCCATCTCTCCAGCCCCCTATTTTGGTGAATTCTTATTACATAGGAGTTGGAAAGAAAGAACAGAATATGTATGTTTTTCACTTATGTGGTGGGATGTATGTGGTTGGGTAGTCCCAACAAACTTGTCCTTCATTTTTCTTCCTTTTATATACCCAACCATTTATACATCCAACTACCTACCCACCTATCTCTCTGCTCTTTCTCCCTCCTATATCCGGCAGTTATCAATTGTATCAATCCTCATTCTTGTCCTTGGGGAATTCCCTACCAAGCAAGGGAGCCTGACCTAGAAGGACCACCTGCATGTCCATGAGAGGGGCTGTGCCACAGTGTGGAACAAAGTGAGTGTTTACAGAAGCACTACCACATATACACTGAATTCTCTGTTTCCTTATCTGCTAATGGGGGGACAACACCCATTATGTCAGGGTTATGCAAGATGAGCTATATCCGGCACCTGCTACAGAGCTCTTTGGACCTATTTGTCCTCAGCAGTTAATTAGTAATTGCTACTCTGTAGGGTTATTGTGAGATTAGAATAACCTAATGTGTAGAATGTTCTCGGTTTGGGGGATAGAATCTATAATAGGGAATAAGAGGTATCAGAATGTTACCCTACCCAAAGAGAATTCCTCCCCTGGGAGGTTGGGCCAAATCTTTCATAGGCACCAAAGAAGAAAGGAGAATTCCAATGATAGAATTGAAAGGGGGCAGTATAGCCTCACACAGAGAGGGGGTCCTTGGAGCAGGACCCAGAGGAAGTCAGAGAATATGCAAGGTAAAGCAGGGGGACTCAGGTGTAGACATGGGGGACATTATGGCAAACCAAGGAGACATGCCCCATTATAAAATCAAGGAGAATACGTGGTCAGGAACCCTGGAAAAGTATTTGTCATGGGAGAGTTTTCTCTTCTTCCAGGGTGGTTCTTTAATGAGGGGCCAGAGTCCTGTTGGGTGGAAGTTATTATTCTCAGATAGAGGGAAATCTGCTCTCCCCTCCTTCAATGACATGCTCCCTTTATCATTTTGGGGAACTTGCCAAGCTCAGTCTGGGAGCCCTGTGGCTTATCTCTGTACGGCCTTTTAATCATTAACATTTTTTCTCTGGAGATACAGTGAGATGACCTCAAATGTCCTTTCATCTCTGACAGGCTTGACAAACCTGTCCTAAAGTGGAAGGACAGTTCCTGCGGCTATGTGGGCAGGGTGGGGGTGGCTGTGTTCTTGCTGTAGCTTCCTTCTGCCTCCCAGTGCTGCCCTTCCAGCTGTGAGTCACCTCCACAGGTAGTGCTGTTAGACTCACCTGGGAGGTACACTGGATGGGCTGACTAGACTCCAGTGAACGCATTTACACTAAAGGACATTTGGGTACAAACACCTGAATGAATAGGACTCAGCATGTATGGTAGAGTGCATAGGGTTCGGTGGGGGGTGGGGGTGGGGAAGGCATGGATGGAGGAAGGGGTCTGTATTGTGAGTGGGAAATACTGTATGAAATTTTAAAAGCTCAAAACAAACAAACAAACAAATGAATAAAAACAAAAAAATGCTCCAGGCTACCCTTAAGACTAAGTCACATATCCTTACATGCTAGAGCTCCCTAAGCCCAGAGATCTTGCCTTTCAGATACTGTCTTAAAATGCAGCGATGGTTAGTTCTCAATAAGGCTGGTAGTGAGCAAACACCATTGCTACTCCTTGGGTTGGAGTCAGTAGGGTATCGAGGCTTAGGTTGTGATTTTTTTCTTCTTGATCTTCCCAGGTTCTTTGTGGGGTATTGTTTAGTAGCCTGTGAACCATCACAGATTTAAGATGATGGGGAAGGTGGGTAAGAGCTCCCAGGAGGACTCTTTTATGTCTGCACTCTGAAGGTCAACCTAAATGGCTCTGACTCACTCCTGTCTATACTTTCTGAGCTTGACCACAACCGGGGTCTGTTGCTCTTGTCTTGCACCAGACAGCCAAGTGCCCCTATCCTCAGTGATTCTCCTTCCTCCCTCCATGCCTTCCTGTGCTGTCTGTGTGGCCATCCATGGCCTTTTTCCTCAAAGTTCCCTGCCCCAGCTTCTACTATCTGTCTCCTGCAACAGATGTCCACTCCATTTGGGAACCGGCTGGAGAAATCTTCTATCTAAAGGAAAGAACCCCCTCACTGGTGTTTCCATGGTTCCTTAGTATTCTTCCACCTCCCTCTAAACAAGATATATCCTAACCTATGGGCCCTGGTAGGAGGCTGTCTTTTGTGACAAAAAGGACTTTGAAGATGTGACTAAGTCATGAAATTTGAGATAGGGAGAGTACTCTGGATTCTCCTGATGGACCAAATGATGAAATCCCAAGTGTGCTTATAAAACGAGGCACTACAGACAAGGATGGGGAAATGCAAGCAGAGATTGGAGTGGTATGCTTTGAAAATGAAGCTAGTGTCATAAGCAAATGTATACAGGAAGCTTGTAGGTGGTGACAAAGACAACGAACGAATTCTTCCCTCAGTATCTCCAAAAGGAATCAGACCTGCTGATCTCTTGGTCTTAACCCGGCACAACCTGACTTCTGACCCTGAAGATTGTCCCAGAGTGAATTTGTGCTGTGTTGAATCCCCCAGGGTGTGTTAACCTCACTGCAACAGGAAATTAATCCAGTGCCCATGGGAAGCCCTTCACTGAGTGGGGCAGGCTATGCTATTGATACTGTTCCTGTCTGACTCCTTGGTAGACTATAACCCCTCTGAGAACCAGTTCCATGACTTGCTCATTTTGTTCTCCTTTCATGCTCAGAGAACATCTGGGTTCCATAGGATTTCTTCAACTCAAAAGCAGTTGATGACATTGCTAACATTTAAGAACACATACCACTTTCAGATTTTCACTGACATCCCATTAAAGTAGGTAGTATAGACTTGATTTCTATAGTCCTGTTTCATAGATGAGAAAACTGAGGTTTAGAGAATTGAAGCAACTTGCCCAAAGAAACAGGTTCTGTGTTGCTTTCTTCTAGAACACTCCATACCTACAGCTCCAATGAGGCACATGAGGAAGAGGAGGCCGATGCAGAAGAAGATGTCTGTGTTCATGCGCCGCTCAATCTTGCTGCGTTTGTAGCGGGGACCACTGTTGTTCAGCATGGCTTTTGTCTCATGGCCTTTGAAGAGAAAATGGGGAAAATCAGTCGACTGGCCCTTGCTTGCCTCTGGACCAGCTCTAGCTTTTCTCTCAGGAGCTCATGATAAAAACAAAGTTTCATTTGCTAAGCTGAACCTGTCCTGCCTCAGGGAGGTTGCTGAGAACAGCTATAGAGTCCTCCTCACATAGTCAGTCAGCAGGACTCAATCACATCATTTACATGCCAGACACTGTGGAAGACATGAAAACATGCCACGCAGGGCTTGTGTATCACACAACTCTGGAGAGAGTATCGTTTGTGTGTAGATGTTGCATATTTGCATGTTTAGTATAATAGACTTCTGGAAAATGAAAGTATGTTCTTTGGAGGAAGGCATCCTTTTCTAATTTGCATAGAATATTGATCTTCTGGCTGTTCTGGGCTAGTCATGGGATATAACAATAAATAGATGATCCATAGTCTGATGAAGCCATATAAAGCAACGAATAAGATCACTGTAACCATTAAAGAGTTAATAACAGCAATTGAGGGGCTAAGCAAGATAGGAGATGATGGCTAGACAGAGAGATCAGATAAAGCTTCCCAGAGAAACTCAGAGAAAACAGAGCTGAAGGAGAAGAGAGTTTTAGTCTAAAAGAACTGCATGTGCAAAGACCCCGCATGAGGACTGCGCTTGGAGCCAGTAGTTTCCATATTTGTTTCTTTGGTTGTGCCTAAGGTTGGTGTTTTGTGTGGAAGGGCAGAAAGGACAAAATCCTCACCGTAGCACTAACCCTTAACAGTTACATATCTGCATAAAATCTCATTCAAGAAAGGATTACAAAGTTGGAAAACTATCATCTTCCTAGTCACTCCCTTTTCCCACTGGAGAAACTGAGGAGCAAGGCGAAAAGAACGAATTAATAATGGAATCACGGTGGGAAGCCAGGATCGTTCCTTCCACCCACCCATGACACCCAGGGAACCACAGTGAGGTGCTAAGAAACTGAGACTCAGTCCTTAGCCTGAGCCTCTCTTTAGGGGCTACTGGATTTTAATTACTGTGCACTACTCCCTGGCAATCACGTTGAAATATGCCAGTCACATATTTTCTGTGCAAAATTAAAGAAAATCAGTATGTCCACTCCAGAAGTAGGCTCCGATGCTGCCGAGCTGGCTGCCCAGTAGACTGACTGAAAGAAGCAACAGCACAGTGGGAGTGAAGGAGCTCAGCTTATTAAATTGGACCCGGGTTGCTGTAGTTCTAGCAGAGTGACAGGCCCAGGCGGTACTCCACTCCCATGCCTACCTCAGGCTCACCCTCAGGGGTCCCCAGCAGCTGAGACATTTCTGTTCCTCAGGCAGGAACTGGGTTTGAAGGCAAGGCAGTATGGTATAGTGTTAGGACAGGGTCTCTAGAGTTAGGACTCGGCTCTGCACATACTTGACCTTGGTTTATAGAGACTTCATGACAGGAGATGTGGGACCGTGGGCAAATAAATCCCTGTGCACTTGAGCTTGTCTGTCAAATGCGGATGATAATCATGTGTGTGTGAGTGAATGAACATACACTAAGAGTCTAATTAGCTTCTGGTAGACAGGAGAGGCTCAATAAATGTTTGCAGTGAGGAGCACATACCCCCACACTAGATCTTACCCTTCTGGAAAGCTCACCCTGGCATTTCTGGGTCTTTCACTCTGATGTCCTCTTGTACCACTGATAGTGTGAAGGGAGGGCAGATAATTCTGGACCAGTTGTTCTTTTCTCAAAATTTTTATTTACCTTGTATATCTGTGGGGAAGCATGGGAGTAGGTGTGTGTACGCATGCCTGTGGAGGTTAGAAGACCTCTGGCAATGTTCCTCAGATACCTTCTACTTTCTATTGGAGACAGGATCTCTCACTGGCCTGGGACTTTGTCACGTAGGCTAGCCCAACTGGCCAGTGAGCTCCAGGGATCCATCTGTTTATATACCCTCCATGTTACCATCACTGGGATTACAGGTGTGCACCACTGTGCCCGACTTTTTATATGGGCTCTGAGGGCCAAACTCAGGTCCTCACACTTAGAAGGCAAGTGAGGTATGGACTGAGCCATCTCTCCATCCCTATCCCTGAATCAGCTGTTCTTACTGGGGGGAAGGTATTGTTTTTCTCCCTGAGAGACATTTGACAGTGTTTGGAGAATGTTTGATTATCTCATCTTGGGAGTGTGTGTTGGAACTAATGCTAGGGAGGTTGTTAAACCTAAGATGAACCCACAAAATGTTCCCCCAAATGAACCCACACCCAACTGTCAGTGGTGCTAAGGTTCAGAGCAAGCTCTAGGTAATGACATGAAACAATTGCAGCCATTTTTGCTCACATCCTCTAAAGAGCAGAATTCATCATGGACACCATATTAGGGCCCTTCCACAGGTCATCTCATTTGAAGCATAGACTCCACAAGGCAGGACCTGTTAGTTCCTCTTACACTGAAAGTTTAACACCTTGCACGGCAGATGCAAACTACATGTAGATTTACTCCCAGGCTGCCTGGCTACCCAGAGCCACACTTACTTTGTTCTCATCCTCTACCTCACATATCATACCCACCAGCTGCTTGGCAGAGAAGAAAGCTCTAAAGGTATGCCGCTGTCACTGGGGACAGCAGCAACTGGCAAATCTGAGTTCAGTAGGTCTACCAGATGGGACTGAGCTCCACAATTCAGGACCCTTAGAAGAAGTCACCCCAACTAACAAATACATAGTCTCTCAATTGAAAACCTAGCTAGCTAGTGACAATACTTTAAGGTCTATTTTCCTTTGACAAACCTAAAAAGTGAATCTTCGTGTAAATGGATGTTATATATCCATCCTTTGCTTCTATCAGAAGTTGGTTCTACTGAGACCAAAATAAACCTGAGTAGACTCGTTTCCTCTACAGTTGTTCTTGTGACTGGTACTTACTGAGCCCTTTCTGAGCACTGACTGTTGGGCAGTGGGGATGCAGCAGTCCCAAGACCTCCCTCAGAGACTTTCCAGTGCATTGTGGGAAGTGCTGTTGGTCCCTTTTCACTGAGAACCAGGATCGAAGTAGGAAGGGCAGGCTCCTGCTGTGGTTTGGTATTGTTTTCCCCTACAATGTTATGAATTTGGTCATGCAGTGATTTCGGGTGATAAGACCTTTGCTGGTGGGACCCAGTCAGCAGTCCATAGATCAGTTGGGGGGTGTCCTCTGAGGGGGCTACAGGACCCCAGTGTCTCTGCCTTTCTGTGGCAATGGGGTTACTTCATCATGATGTGACATGGTCAAAGGGGTCCTCACCAGTTAATGCCGGTGCTAGGTTCTTATACCTCCCACACCATGAGCTTAATTAGATGCCTTTTCTTGCCTTAGTTATTTCAGTACAGTGATGAAAATGCACTAATACAGTCTCTATATCTAGGTCTATAAAATGAATGAAGAAAATAGCAAAAATATAGCCGGAAAAACAAACAAACAAACAAACCAGTAACTGTGGTTCATGAAGCCTTTCCTTCCTTAGTTATAGTGCTAGGTGACTTGCCTGGGATGGACCATTTGATTCTCAGGAATTCTATAAGAAGCAAATACAAATATTCTTCCCAATGTACAAATAGGGAAACTGAGGCATGAAAAGTGAACTTATTATGTTGGTGAGGTAGTTCTGAAGACCTGCTTGTGCTTGATGTCACAAAACCACCCCTGGGGTGATGACTGTCAGCTCCTCTCCCCGTCTGTTCAGATGAGTGATATCAACTCAAGATCTCATCATCTCCTGTGGGCTGAGTGAGCTTCTGTGGCTCCCAACCTCCATTTGCTTAGCTGGGAAATGGGAAGTTGCCTGGCTCTGTCCCTGAGGACCACTGTGAGTTTCCATCGAATGAATGGAAGGAGATGAATCTGGAGGAGAGTTTGGAGAAGAGAGGATCAAGACAAGCTTGAACAAAAGAAACTGTCCAGAGACACTGACCTGCATAGATGACGATGCCAGTGACCACCTCAGTGTTTCTGATGGTGCAGCCTCGGAGCAGAAGACTCTCGCTGCCAATGCCAGTCCGGGTCTGATCCATATGCTCCCTAGGAATGAGGAATAAAAGTCAGGGAGTGGTTTGTTGGCCTCTCTGTGCGGTCACTCGTCAGTGTCATAGAATTAAAGTTGCTGGCAAGTGCAGTTCTTTTCCTCTCCCTTCTTCCAAGATCAACTGTAGCTGGGAGTCTCATCTCTGTGTCTAAGTGAATGTCACCATTGCTTCTGGACAGCCAGGGTGGGGCTTATTAGAATTGTCCACTCTGAGGAACCCTCATTTCCCCACATTGAAGACAGAACTCTGCTGAAAAGGCCTTGGCTTTGATTCTCACCCTCAAATTAGTTGTAGGAGTGAAATGTAGGGACATGGGCTTCTGCATCTGCAGGGCGGATGCTGGTCTCCTTTAGGAAATGCTTATGTGTCCCTTTTCATCAAGCTGCTGGGAAGCAGAACTACACAAACTGAGCATCCTGCTCCATAGAATATGGCACATCTCCCTGCTTTTTATACCATGAGACAATCTAGGAGGCAAGATAAGGAAAGGAAGAGTGGCTTGAAGTACCCTCACATCTGAGCGATGTCATCACTGGGCCTCTCTCTGTATTTTCCCTTGAACAGTCACAAAGAGTACACAGACCTCACTGGAGGGCACAGTGGCCCTTTGTCTAACTACAGGGAGTTGTTATTTTCTTAAAGGGGGAGCAGTCTCTTTCTTCCTCTTGCATCAGGAGATATTTCAGCTTCCAACCTCATGTTAGAAACTTCTGAGTCTAAATGACGCCATCTATTACCTGTAGCATGATGTAATTGTGTCCTGAATTTCAGCAGTTTTAAATATAACACTCCAAAACTATTGGAGGAAGACAGGAAAAGTAGTGATCTGAACACTTGGAATTTTCTCACTTCCCACTTCTTCAATACTATTTTTCTATGTATAGTTATGACTCATTCTGTGTCAGTTCAGCCTCAAGATAACTTATAAGCCAGGTCATGTTATAATATCCACTTCATAGAAGGCAAATTTGTAGAGCTAGTAAGTGGCAAAAACGTGTCTTTGGCTCTAAAATATCTGGTGCTGGAGGGGTGTGGTGTTATTCAGTATGCCCATTGATTGAGTGATTACCTTTTTTTTTTTTTTTAAACACAGGGTTTTGTTATATATGGCTTTGAACTCATGAAGCTCTGTCTTAACTTCATGAGCGCTGAGATTACAGGCATGAGCCACTATTCCCAACTTCAGTATACTTTTAAATTTTAAACTCTGCTTATAAATCGTGTTTACTTACAAGAGCTATTAGATTCTACATGGCTCTGGAAAGTTAGCAGGATCATTATCCTTACTTGTGAAAAAAACTGAAGCTGAGAGATTATTTTTCCAAGATCACACATATAGTAAAAGACCATCTGTAATCCAGGTCAGACACCAACTTTAGTGCCATTTTTTCATTACACTGAAGTTCCTAAAGCACAAGCCCATTATGTGACCCTGAATCATAATCGTTTCCATCTTCTGTTCTGTGGCTCTATCAAGGCCATGTCCTCACTTCATGCTGAGTATGATTCATCCTTTTCCACGACTTGTCTTTTTTGTTTCTTGACATGAGGGGTTTTGGTGAATAATCTTTCATTGGAATATAATGATAACTGTTTTGATTTTACTGTTATCAGTTTTTACTGTAACTTTCTATGCATGACAAGTGATACTGGTTTCCCATAGGCCCTGTCCTAGGTTCATTTTTGTTGATGAGATAAAATATCCTAGTAAAATGCAACTTTGGGGAGAAAGGGTTTATTTTAGTCCATGGTTACATGGATATACAGGGAAGTCAAGGCAGTGGGTACTTTAAACAGTCACATCATATCAATAGTCAAAATCAGAGAGCAATGCATATATGCACACACTTGCTTGCTTGTTCCCTCTCAGCTCAGTTCCTCTACTCATATAGTTCAGGACCCCTGCCTAGGGAATGGTGCCACCCTCAGTGGGCTGGGTCATCTCTTATCTATTAACTTAAAGACAATCCCCCACAGACATGCCCATAGGACAACCCAATATTGACAATCTCCCTGAGCCTACCTACCCAGGTGAGTCTAGGTTATATCAAGTTGACAATTAATATTAACCATATTACAGGCCTCAAGTTTCCTTTCAAAATAAATTTAAGATATATAAAAATGTAGATTCTGATGAATATAAAAATCATAAAGGTGATCTATGAACTGCTGAAGATTAGGGCCTGTGATTGCTCCTCTTTATTGGGAAGGAATCTGGTTTCTGGTTAAATAATGGGTTGATGAATGTTGACTATGTTACACAGCCTGTAGTTTACAGAACATTTATGATGGTCTGAGGTAGTAATGTATGGGGAAACATGTCTGTTTCCCACTCGCAGTGCCCACTTTCAATGGAAGGGAGAAAATATTAGCTGTCTCAGGGCTGCTGTTCTACTGAGTGCTATTTGTTTATAGGGATACTCTTTAAAAACTGTATTTTTTATTTTATGTGTAAAAGTGTTTTGTCTGCATGTACGTAAGTGCACCACATACATACAATGTTCATGGAGACCAGAAGATTGTGTTGGATTTCCTGGAACTGGATCTATGGATAGTTGTTAGCTGCCACGTGAGTTATGGGATCCAAACCCAGGTCCTCTGCAAGAGCAGCCAGTGCTCTTAATCACAGAGTTATCTCTCCAGTCCTTATTGTGATATTCTTGTTCATGGTTTTCATTCAGTGTTTCTGCCTTGGCATTAACATTTGGGAAGGAGGGTTCTTTGTTGTAGGGCTGTCTTACATACTGTAAGATGTGGAGTGGCATTCCTGTCCTCTGTCCACAAAAGACCAGTGGCACAGCTTCCCAGCTGTGACAATCAACGCTGCCAAAAGACATTGCCAAAAAGTCTCCTGGTTGGAGAAGAAGGACATTGCCTTTAAGCCCTGTGGTCCTACGGGGAGTCTTTTGTTTAAAATTTTATTTAATTTTAATTACTCAATTATTTATTGAGGCAAAATCTCAATACAGTACAAGCTGACCTCAGATTCACTATGTAGCTGAGAATGATATTGAACTTCTGACCCTCCTGCCTCCACTTTCTAAATGTTGGAATTACAGGTCTACAGTACCATACCTGGTTTATGTGGTATTGATCAAACCCAGGGCCCCACCATCTTAGCTCTTGGACTTCCTTGAGTTACAGGGATCCTATCCCATTCTGGATTTGTATGTACATCGAGTCTTGATAGGGTGAGTAAATCTCTGCCATCTGAGATCTCAGTCCAAACTGGGTCTCTAAGATCCTTCCCTGCCCCAGACTTGTGGTTTGGAGTTTGATACCTGAGACCTCCCTGCATTCTGCCATCTGAGCTCTGTTTGTCTTAGACTTGTAACCCTCTATCCTAACCTACCAGCCAACTTCCTCATGTAGCAGCTCCATATCACCCTGCTGATCCAGGACCCTGTGCAATCAATCCTGAAATCACTACTTAGAAGTTGCATCTATCTGTAGTTGAAGTGAGATCACTTCTTCCACCCAAATTGTATATCAACTTAAAGTAGCCCCCAAACTGAACACCAACCACTACTCAGCTAGGCCATAACCTGACGAGTTGTGGAAACAACAAACAAGATACAAACACTTAGCAAGGACAAGAACACATACCCATATCAAGACACACCACCACACAAGTCCAGATGCCCAGGCCTCAGTATAAAGCTACAAACAACAGGAATAACCAAGATAATATGACTAATACAGAAATTAACAACCTCATCATAATATTTCCTGAGAATGACACAAGTGGATGCAGAAGACAATGATTTAAAAATAGAAATTATAAATATGTTCAAGGAATTTCAAGAGGATGTGAACAAAAAACTGAATGAAGACCATGAAAACAGAAACAGTTGTATGAAATAACTAAAACAATTTGAGACATGCAAGCAGAATCCAGTAAAGAGACAGACTCTCTGAAGATAAGCTGATCTGAAATAAAACTTGAAAACCTCAGGAAGTCAAACAAAAAGCTTAGAGAAAGAAACAAAAGAGAAGTGGAAGAGATGGAATAGAGAATATCAGATCTTGAAGACAAGGTTGGGTAGATGGATCTCTCAATCAAAGAAAGTGTCAAATCTAAAGTAAGCCAAGAATGGAATATCCAAGACCTCTGGGATACAATGTAGAAAGACCAAACCTATAAATCATAAGCATAGAAGGAGAAGAAACCCAAATCAAAGGCACAGAACATCTTAAAAAAGATTTTATTATTTTTATTTTATGTGTATGAGTATATTACCTTCATGTATGTAAGTACACCCAAGTTGTGCAAGGCCCATGGATTTTAGAAGAGGGTGTTATACTGCTTGGAACTGGAGTTTCAGACGGTTGTTGGCCACCATGTGGATGTTGGGTTTTGAACCAGGGCTCTCTGCAAGAGCAGACAATGCCCTTAACTACTGAGCCATCTCCCCAACTTCACAGAAAACATTCTTAATAAAATCATAGAACATTTTCTAAACCTAGGGAAAGAGATACCTATCAATGTACAAGAGGTATACGGAACACCGAGTAGATGGAATCAGGAAAGAAACTCCCCACATCATATAATCATCAAAATAGTAAATGTGCAGAACAAAGATAAGATATTGAAAGCTGTGAGAAAGAGAAAATAAAATATAAAGGCAGACCCATCAGAATAACAGCTGACTTTTCAATGGAACTATGAAAACCATAAGAGCAGGGACCAATGCCATACAAGTAATGAAAGAACACAGGTTTGAGGCCAAACTACCATACTCAGCAAAACTATCAGTAGAAAGAGAAACTTATCACAATAAAAACAGATTTAAGGTACTTATGTCCACAAATCCAGCTCTACAGCAAATACTCTGTGGAATACTTTGGTTAGAAGAGAAGATTAAATACTCTCATGAGGGCACAAAGAATAAATACATTATTCTAAAACAGTCAACCATAAGAGGTCTAAGAAAACAGAACTACAACACCAACATAACAGGAATTATTAAACACTGGTCAGTAATAGCCCTTAAT